TGTCAACAACCTCGCCTAGTTGCCTTATGTATCTTTTCATGTATTTTTTATGTGTATTTGGCACTATGAAAGTACTGTAAAAGTACGGTATTGACGGTATAACGGTATTAGTAGCTGATACTATATTAAAAACCTTTGAAACTTAAATATATACCTTCTATATCTAAAAGTAATACCTCGGTATATAGAAATATAGGTATACCTCACAGCCCTATCGTCAGCCCTAACGGAATCTAGTGTTTCGCTGGAAAAGACATCTGATCACCTGTTTCGTGGATGCTCCTTGACAAATTGTAACTTTACAGTTCAAAAGTGATGGATTATGGACTACTAAATGACTAAGGACTATTTCATGTGGACAAAGGAAAAACATAGATATACTAATATCACTTATGATTTACGTCATTTTTATAGAAATAGCATTTATAATAGTTTGTTTAAAAGATTTTGATAAGAATGTATACAATGTATAGTGTCAAAACCACAGAGATACAAATGAAACCACAGGTATACAAATGAAACCACAGGTATACAAATGAAACCACAGGGATACAAATGAAACCACAGGGATATATCACAGTTGTAGCACAGGCGGTGCCTTTGATACGCCCACTCATTATTATATGAACAAAATTTGTAACACTAGTCAGATACTGTACATGTAATACTGTATAGCAGGAAAAAGGCAGAGTTGTACTTTGATGATTGGCCGATTAAGAATAAGATTGCCAAACTAAAAGTCACCATATACTCTATTCTGAGCATGCTGAATGGACATGTGTCTGCAAATTTGCTAATAAAAAATACCAAATTAAAATCAAGTAATCTCGAATATTAAATGCTGCCAAATATTTGAGCTGTACGATAACTTTCATGAACTTAAATTTTATACAAAAACAAGAATTCATGCTTTCTGAATAAAAAAGTGAACAGTGGATTTTAAAAGTGGTGCTAAAAATTAAGTGTGACAGCATGCATACATGTACGCTGTACATGTATCCCTACTGTGAAGCCATGGTGAAATATACAGTCATTTATTATTTAAACCTTTTGATATACATTGTACAAGTACACCATAAACATGAAATTCAAATTTCGAGGGTGAGATTGTGAATATCATATGTGTACATGTATCTGTATGCTCTGCATAAGTGAATACAGTATGCATAATTTGGTAAAATTCTAATGTAAATGTACTACACATATTAGTAAAAATAGTAGTGCCTTAAAATAGTGGAGCCTGAGATTAAAGTAACTTAATTGTTATTTATATACATGTACCTCTCCTACATCACTTCCATGCATGATAACAGTGGCACCATAAGTCTCGCACTGAGCAACTTTCATAAGAGGTGCAACTGTTGGCATGACTACTGTTACTGGAATATCCAAAAGCTTTCCATGATAAGCTAGAGCAAGCGCATGATTACCAGCAGATGCTGCAATGACTCCTTTAGCCCGTTGAACCTACATGTACATGTATAGGAAGCATAAATGCAACTAATTAAACAAGCCTTACCTTCGTGAGCATCTCCAAAGAATTTCTTGCACCACGCTCTTTAAAGCTGCAAAAATTAATGAATTACATACATGAATGTAAGTTGATAAACTAAGGCAATTATAAAGTTGCAAAAAAAATCAGGGAAAACATCATGTAAAAAAACTAGAAGAACCTAAAACATCGAGGAGATCTGTTCTCTTGCCATGCCCTAACAAACATCACACATGCATGTGTATAATATACACATGTACAGTTATATGGACCACATCATTAGTAAAGGCGAAAATATAAGTACATGTAGATGGTTGTACATGATGCATTTACGCAAATGTTGCTACCACTTAACAATTGGGCAAAGTTCATATACACATTTGGCTCGTCGACTTTAATAAGTGGTATTATAGGAAGTACAATCACTACAATGGTGGCAGGAAAATTTTAATTAATTTTCGATATTAATAATTCTATAAACAATACATAGCACCAAGTGGTCTATTTGTTAATAACCAGTGATTTTTGGCTTTTGACATACATGTAGTTATAATGGGTAACTAAGATTCTTCATGCCTCCATAAAAAGTTGCCAACAAATATGGCACACAATTTTAACTTGTTGGCAGGTACCAAACATAACATCAATGATATTCACAGGTTTTCTCATTCAGGACTAGGCCTAGGGTGGTTTATACCGCACACGTCTTAATTTTCGAGGTATACACATGTATTAAATTTTCCTATTGTCGTGCTCACCTTAAATCCAAGAAAATTAAACCACCTCTAATGCAATTCTGGTGTGAATAGACTATGGCCAGAAAACAAAAATTAGCTCACATGAATACTAACTTTTGAGCACATTTCAAAACACGAAATTTGAAGCACTCAAAAATTTGAACGTATTACAGTAGTACATGATGACGAAAAGTCTTGCATAAATTGAATCCATGAAAATTATATTTGGGTGGATTCGCATGTTGATCACTCAAAAGGTTCATGCTTTACAAACAAGCTCTTCTATAGTTTACTCTGTTTTTTTTCCAATGAATTTTGCCGTCCATAATGGTGGCCAATTATTGCGTGTAGGCGGAAACAGCATTGCAAAATAATAATATTCATATGCTTCGTCATTTGCAGATCTAGAGGTCTATAGTAGAAATGAAAGTCTCATCGCATATGCTGTCACACATTGAAAATTATATAGGATTCTACACTACCATACTGTATTGAGTATGCATAAATTACATAGTGAAATGAAATCATACATGTACATGTTTGTACCTTCCTGTGGGAAGAGTATATTCCTTCTTAAAAAATATGTTCATACCAGCTATTGTGGATAACTGGGGTGAAATCTATAAAAACCGATTAAAACAATAACAGATTTTGAGATTTACAGCTACAATTTACTGACCTGCAATGGAGTTTTGGAAACTCCCTTCCGAATTCTATACGCTGCACCAGTACAATCCTCATACTGAATAGCCTTCTCGTGATCACTTTCAGAACCACGGCGGCTTACAGAATCACTACCTCGGTCGCTACCAGTACTTGTAGAAAATTCTTTAGAAGCAACAGTAGTCATAATTTGTGATGTAATCTCGTGTAGACTAAGATGTGGCTGACTGGCTGTAGTAACTTCCGTCTAATAGGCGGATCAACAAATTTTACTATTGTCATTAATTACTATATACCGGTAGTCACGTCACGCCTCTCAAATTGCTGAAATTGAAATCATTTGTAGTCTATTGTTCATCAATTCCGTTGTTCATTTCTTGTAATTGGTCCTCAGCAATGTCTCTTCCTCGTCATGTACAAGATGTTAACTTAAACCTTGATTTTCAGTCACCAGATGAGATAAAGCCCTCTCTGAAAAAGTCTTTTTTATTGACAAAATGGATAAGGTGAGCGAATTTATTGTAATCCCTATTTTGTTATTTGATTAAATTCAATTACCTTAAAGCCACTATTATTTGCTAGTACTAATTTTTTTTTGCGTTTTTTGCGAGTGGCTTTAAAATCGCAAAAAATTAGTACTTGCATTTATTAATAATTTAGGTTTATTAACAGTTATTATATAATTTGGAAAAAAAGAGCAAAATTGCAAAAATTAGTATGCGCTAAATCAGTACCATTAACAAATCGCAAAAATTTGTCAACTTAAAAATGAGTGGTTTTAAGGCACATGTATGTATTACGAATCAAAAATTAAAAAGTATTATGATTGGATTGAGGAAAAAGTAAGGAACCATCAAGCAAGAGGGTACTTGCAAACTGGTGAGGTAAGAAATGCTACACCACTGCATGAAGAATGTTTGGAATAGTAGTGAGTACTATACTACTTTCATGCTGTGGTGTAAACTGACCATATCAGTTTGCAAGTATCCCTTTAGTTTGATACCTTTTACCAAATCAATGCTACTATAGTCAGTTTCAGTTGAGTTTGACCACTGACCCACACTTATGACTCCTCTAAAATTTAGCTAGCTGCTTGAAACTTGATATATTTGCAAAATGGGTTCTTCCCAAAATCTGTACCAATTTTGGAGTCTCTAGGTACTCTGAAAGGTTCTGAATAGGTTCTACCGGTCAACATTAAAGGGAGCTGCGATGATGTTTCATAACGTGTAGCTTCGTGAATATGATGTGCATCTCATTAAATATGTCAGTGATCATGTTTTTATTATTCAAAAATCAAATAAAGCAAAAGGAACACTCCAGGCAAATATATAATTGAACTAGAAAACTTTGCACTCCAGAAAGAAGTCTCATTTAGTCTGCTGTGCCTCTCAGAGCATTCTTTATTTTTCATCACTTTTGCCGCTCAGAAATTCATTTGAAATTTTGCATATCTCGATGTTAATGGCAAGCACAAAGATCCGTTATGTCAATTTCATAGTTAACAGCGAACAAACGAGGAGAATAAACAAGTTACAACAATAAGAAAAGAGCATCAAGAGGTTTTCAGCCATTTTATTGTCATGGGGGTGGGGCTACACATGATGTTTTGATGATGAAAATATCCGGTCAAACTCAACTGGAACTGACTATACATGTATATCGTAATTACGGTTCCATTTTTGATTTTTTCTATTTACTTGTTTCCATAATTACATTGTGTTGTTACTTTCATTATAATTCATGCTGATTTTGTGGGCATTAATTAAAATAGCGTCAAACCACAAACCTACGTGGTGTCTGCAGCTGGATTTTCCTCCGATTTTGTTCTTTGTCTTTGCTTCTTTTTGAAACTACATTGTGGTCCTTGACCATGCACAAAGGAATGATGTAAAAGCCAATATGAGCAGTTCTCTGGTTTAATTATCTTTGGGATAAAAGATAAAGGAAGAAAAGGTCTGAAGAATTTTCAGAAACTTGAATTCGGACCTATTCTCCACTATCTCCAGAAAATCTCCAGCTACATTGCAGTCCACTTTGAGAATTGCTCACTGAAGGAGAGCTCATCATACATTTAAGTCATTTTTTAGCTGTAAAAGGTAAGATGAAAGAGTTATAAGGGTCTGAAAATAATAAAAATGGCGCTATCTTGAAAAATCAACCTCAGTCCTATACATATGCATGTACATGTACATGTAGGCTATCACTCTATTAGATATATGACGTTGGATACCCTTTCTCCAGCTCTTATCAATGTGCCACACACAAAGCAACTTCTTTGTGTTGGTAGTAGTGAAAACACCTTAACACGCATTATAAAAATTTTCTGCATTGTCGCTCATAAATACAATAGCATGGAGATCTCTACATTTCTCCTTGACCTTCATTAAAGCTTGATGAACCAATGCAGAATCCTCTCTGTTAGATATAATCCAGCACACAGGAACACTGTCCCCAAATTCATCTAGTATCAGTACAGTTATCAAATAGAAATTATAAACATTAGTACCATGAGTGCTGTCCATACAAATTGAAATTTGATCATCATATCACGCTGAAAACATGTCTGAATCCCAACAACAAAATCCTCATCTGCTAAATCATTTATGTCAGGTGACTGCTTCTGCCCTTGCTTCTTATAAATGAATACAGGATTGTCCATTGATTCCATCATATTTTTAACCAACAAACTCACACTGGTATGATCATCTGAATGTAATTGTACACCTTCTATATTGTATTGGTGCTTTATATTGTGAATGTCTTGACGACAGAGAAGATGCTTGCGATGAAGAACACCATCAAGTGACTGTTCACGAATTGAGTCAAATATATTTGAGACAGTCACACCATCAGCAAGTTTTGCAGCTACTTTTTTCCTGGTAGAAAGGGATAATGGAAGTTGAACTTTATGTAGTTGAAGTTCATGGATGTGATAATTACATAATTTCACTTCAAGTTGCCCATCTTCATCCTTTTTGGCTCTAATATATGCAGGACAGTGTGTGCCTATTTTAGAAGATCCTTGCATTTTTAATTCTCTGACTCCCTTTCCTTTTGAGGCATACTTCCCAGATCGATTGCAGTAAGAAATGTAACTAGAATCTGAATGACACTTTGGAGCACAATGCAGGACATATGATGACCGTGCATTCTCTTCAAAGCTCTCCTTCCATTTTATAAATTCGTGAAGTGTTGAGAAAGACTTATGGATAATATTAATGCTCTTGTTGTGCTTTATACACAGATGTTTGATTAAGTCATCACTTGTACGAAACCTATTAAAGTTCAAATACAAATACATTAATTTGAAAGTCACTGAAAGGTAACTCACTTTTCCGAACATCCTTCAGTACACTTAATAGTACCACTTTGGAAATTTTCCTTGGCATGATCAGTTTTGATGTGGCGATACAGACTACTTTTATGTCTGTAAGTATTGGAGCAGTGGTCACAATTAAAAGACATAAATGCAGTAGCATTTGGAGGCTGCCTGAAGTCTTTTTCGTCATTAGATTCAGATTCATCCAAATGTACTGTAGTACTTGGAATATCCTCGGGTATTTCCTCAATCTCAACATCATGTGCACTTGCAGCCATAGTTGATATAGGTGTAGTAAGTTTACATTATAGACTATAGACCACACCTCTATTGTTTTATGTCCGCATATCCAAGTATACGGACATGCTACTGTCCTCTGCCTAATGGCTAGACTAGCCATTGAGGCGGATTTACAATATGACATTAGGCCAGCGTACCGTCAATTTTTAATCAAAAGCGTGGGCGATTTGACCTTTTGACGCATGCTTTCCGCTGGAATAGAACCAGATTCTATTCCAGCGTCAACGTAACGTCAGGACTAGCGTAATATTGTAAATCTGCCTTTAGGGAGAGGACGTTAGCATCTCCATTTTTCCAAGTATACAGACATGAACGAATTATAAACATTAATAATTAATTAAATTTAATGATAATTATTAATTATTATATCATCTTCATCAGTATTTAGTCCAGCACAAGATTCATGATACCAAGCACCACAAAAGTTCACATTCTGTCCACTTTACTAAGCTCTGAGTATTCCTATTGTCTTCACGTAGGTACAATCCACAAACAATGATATCAACTTCGTCCATTTGTTCTATACATTTCTCTCTTTGCTGCTCATCTGGTTTAGATAGTGATGTGACTGAGGATATACGCTTCTTTTTTGTAGACTTAAAGTGAATTTGCTTTTTAGAATTTGCATTAGGGGCTTGTCCTTTCCTGGTAGGAAGACATGGTGGCTCATCAGTTGTTCTGTTACTTTCAATAGATTTGATGACCATCAATGCTGCAGTTAAGTGCTTCGTTCCTTGCTTTATTGCATCCAAGCTGGTACATTCAAGTAATGCTACAGTACCTCTATTTTTTACAGAGTGATACAGCTTTTTCAACACTGGATGCATGGTCTGTTGATTTTGAGTTTACAAGGCATTTGGATAAGTATTGCAATGATGACACATCAGGCTGATCTTCTTTTCTTTCAGTTTCATTCCCAACAGCACCATGTTTATCTTCATTTGAAAAAGAACTATCTAAGATCTCATTCTTGACAGTAGATGACTTTTCTTGATCTTTGTTCTTTGTTCATTTTATTCATTTCAATCAAGTGAATATGTTTACAAACAGTAGAATGAAGAATAAAATTCATGCATGTGCACATGTAAAAATGGACACACACTCCACAACTACTACATCGAAGACTACAGAAACAGCTTTCAGTCATAACTTTTGTTACAGTGTAAGATTGAGATTGCATATCACTCAAAGAAGATAACTGCTTTTCCAATTAACTTAATTATTATTATGGATTCCAGAACTAGGGACGCTCTAAGATTAAAAAAAAGTAACCCCAAACCAAACTTTGGGACTCCTAACATCATAGGAAAATTTTAATATGACTATGGGTGCTCTAAAATAAATCCAAGATAGTCTCATAAGGAAGGCCTAATCCTGAATGGATTACATGTATATAATCGGTACACTTTTTTAGGTTGTTACTGGCCCCTCGTAGCCATTTTATTTCTTTGCAGCCACTCCCACTTTTAATGAAATATTGAAAATTAGAATTAACTACATTGCTATGCATGTGCTGATATATAGAGGAGATACGGAATATGTATGTGTGTGTACATACATACAAACAAACTCTACACATCTTAGTAAGGTTCGTCCACTTATGCTGCTAAAGTCACAATTGGTGAATGGCCACATAAGAGCATCTCTCTTTCTGCTATAGAAACAAATTTTTGTTAATCATTCAATAAAATTATTCCACTTTAGACGAGACCAAAAAGCATTCAGTATCCAAATATCATAATATTAATACTGGCGGCTCTCTATAATAAGCAATATTCATAGATTTTGAATGGTCTAAAACTAATTTCTTTCATGAGTAGGATTTTATTCAGTGACATGCGGTATACTGTATTTCCTTAAATAAAACCTGGGCGTCTATTTCCT